AACATAACATAACATAACATAACATAACATAACATAACATAACATAAGAAAAACTCTACATATACAGAAATACTCATCACATCATTACCTCTACTAATGAAGAGTTAGAAGCAACCCAAACGTATGCCAGGGGGAATGGTTTGTCAAATTATGGTACAACTATTTTACTATTATGCAGTCACTAAAAAGAATTCATCACAAAGATGATGTAGCAACAAGGTTCAATGTCTTTGGATACTAAAACAAAAAAGAATAGAATGTACATCTTGAAAAACATGCATATGTGAACCAAGAGGAAGGAGAACATACAGAGTTGAAAATAGTTGTGTGGTGGAGTAAGACTAGATAGAATTATGGATGATTTTTATATCACCATAAAAAGGGCAATTTGGCAGTTTCCACCAAACTAAACTATGGATGCCAGAAGTAGCACTTCTAGGAATCTACCCTATATCCTCCATAAACACTACATAAAACACTAGCATGAGCACACACACATACACAAAAAGACAATAGTTACTGCAAAACTGTCTAGAGTGGAAAACTGTAAATCACCTAAATGTATATATACTGCAATGGAATACCATACAATCCTTAAAAAGAATAAAGATTTGTATATATTGCCATGGAAAAATGTTTCACTTAAAAATATTTTTAAGTGAACAGAGTAAGCTGCAGGAGATCTCTCTCTCTAGCCTAAAGTAAACTTAATATGTAGAAACATGTATGTTCCAGTTTCATGTGATAAACAAGCTTATATGTACATGTGGTTATGCACTAATCAAACCTAGAAGAAAACAGCCAAATGCCAACAGTTGTTGGCACACATCATAGGGGTGTGAGATAGGTACTTCACGTACTTTTTGCATTACATGCTTCAATATACTTGATATGCCTGAATTGGTTAAAATGTGCGTCTAAATATGTTTTGTTTTCATGAGTATAAACACACAATAGCGTGGTACCGGTTGCAGTAAGTCACCATTTGTGTCAGAAAAAGAGGGAGCATATACATGCCTGTTGATATATAAAGAACTTTCAACTCTGGAGACAAAGGCTAGGGGTCAGGGTTGGGTGGAAGATTTATTTTTCAGTTAGATCCTTTCAGATTATTGTTTTTACTGTGTTGTGGGTATTATCTGTTAAAATTTTTCTTTACAGTTTTAAAGTTACATATGTTTGAAACATTACATGTTTTTAGTGATGTAATCATATTCTTTGTGGTGTAATAAATGAAAAAAGCCGAGACCACAACTGTACATTTAGTAGGAGCTAAACTATATTAAAGGAAAGCTGAAGACAGAAAGACTAGACAAATGTCTAATTATAAGTGCTTGCCTTTAGGTCATGGCACTGTTCCTTTCTCCTTTTCAATTTTTCCTGTGGGTTTTACGGTTTTTTTTTTTTAATTTTTTTTCAACGTTTATTTATTTTTGGGACAGAGAGAGACAGAGCATGAACGGGGGAGGGGCAGAGAGAGAGGGAGACACAGAATCGGAAACAGGCTCCAGGCTCTGAGCCATCAGCCCAGAGCCCGACGCGGGGCTCGAACTCACGGACCGTGAGATCGTGACCTGGCTGAAGTCGGACGCTTAACCGACTGCGCCACCCAGGCGCCCCGGTTTTACGGTTTTTAAATAAGATTTTTGATTTCACATTTAATAAGTCTTTTCAAGTTTCCCCAAGTCGGGAGGATTAAAAACATGAGAAAACAAACCAATAAAGTCATAAAGAGCCCACACAGTTCCCGCCAGCAACGCTTTGGGATGCCCAAGGGTGGACCCCGCCGGTTTGATTCATGCACCAAATCCCAGACGCTCGAAAGAACCACAGGGACAGAAAGGTGTCAATCAAGCTTCTGGGGTTCAAATCAACCTCCGCCATTTCCTAAGAGAAGGCATTTAGTTTCACTCGGCTTTAGCTTTCAAGTATGTCAAATGCGGATAATGGTCGTACCTACCTCACAGAACTGTGGTGAGGAGGAAAGCCAAAATACGTAAAGCGCTTAGCAGCGTCGAACACAAATTAAGCTTCCAGGAAACCTTATCGTTATTGTTATCGCGCTACAAGGCCCAGGACTCTAAACTGTAAGGGCCTCTCGGCTGGCCTCCCCCTCTCTCTCAGACCCTTGCCGAGGCCCGAGCTCCCGCTTCCGGTCAAGAGCCTGCGAGACCGGTGGCCCCGCCTCGGTCCCCTCGGTCCCCAGTCCGGGTCTCGAGGCCCGCGCTGCCCGGGTTCCGTCCTCCAGTCAGCTGGGGTCCGGCCCCGCCCCGGCCCGCGGATTCCCAGCCCGGCACTCTGAGACGACCCCAGAGAATGGAAGGCTAGACGCAGGGTGGTGGGCGGTCGTACTCGACCACCCTGCGGCCACCAACCACAAGCTCTAGGCAGACACTCACCATCTCCGACCGATCCAGTAGCTCCGCGACCCCGGCACTCAGCCCAGTCCCGGTACCTTTCGCGCCTGCGCACAACACTCTGTCAAAACGGACAGCTCCGAGAGCCTACCAGGACCCAGCGTGGGACTGACGGCTGGGCGGGTCTAGTCAGCTCCCCCAGGGCTCATAAGGAATATGCCAGGCCCTGTCCCATAGTGAAAAGCAGAGGAACGCTTCAGTTGTGGAAAATTCCCAACTCCTGTGCCAAAAGATGGTGTCAGAAGAGGTTTTCAACTCTCCACCGAGGTCTGAGATGGCGCCGGAAATCCTGGGTGGACGGTTGTGGGCGAGTGTGAAGGCAAGGAAGGGGTGTTGCTGAGACCCCATTTGTGCCCTGATTAAGGCAAAGTGAGTCGCTGAGCCAAAATGCGCCCAACGCATGGTAAAGTCGGGGAGTGGGACTGGAGTCAGGTGTCTTTGGGGTCTTCAGAGCGACCCCCTTGGAAATATTCCAGGCAGGTTCTCAGATGGAGTGGTCAGGGCTGAGCTGGGAGTATGCAGGTTTAGGACTCCAAGCTCAGCCCCACCCCCTGGGTTACCTTGGAGAAGCCAGTTTACATCTCTGTTTTCTCATTTTCTCACCTTTATAAGGGGGGAGCCTTCTTTGCAGAGCCCTACGTTTGTCCTATTTTCTGTTCTTTAGCCTTATTAAAAAACATTCGATGGAATAAATTTGAAGATCTAATTGGTTTTATTACACGAGTCATGAATGGGTCAACATCCCACATAAACAAGTAGAGGGAAGCTCTGCCGAGCTATACAAAGATTTTACATAGAGAGGGAATAAAAAGAGAGAGAGAAGAAAACAGTTTATTCGCAAGGAACGAATTGTTTAGGCCCTCCTAAGGGAAGAGGAAGGGGCCTATTAGTAAATTTCCCAGTATTCACTGGGAAATTCCATGTTGACCAGTAAAAGGTAACATACTTGGGGAAGGTGCTCAATTCAACACAGATAACCTAATTTCAATTTTTCATTCCACTGCAGCCTCTCTTAACTGGGGAAGGATTTGGTGCTCCTTTCAGGGGTGTCTGCATGTTAAGAGGATCGGATAGTGCCTTTACAGTGAGGAAACTGGGCAGACACCATCTTAATCAGAGGATCAAGGTTAACGTTACTAGTAATGTGATATCAACGTTTAGGTAAACACAGGCTTTGGAGTCAGTCCTTTCCAGTTTGCACTCTTGCCACCGAACAACCTCAAGTTAATCACTTTAAGCCTTCATTTTATTATCTGTAAAATAGAAATAATCATCCCTGAGAGTGGCCAGGAAGACTAAATGACAGTTGCATGTGGCATATCCAACAATGTTTGGGACATAGTAATAAATGATCGTTGTCCTGGGACTAAGTGAATGTAGGTATGGTATTGGTTGCCAGGATAGGGAAGACAAATAGAAGAGCAGGTCTTAATTAGAAATGACGAAAAGGAACAGTATGGAGGTTTTCAGATCTGTAGGTATAACCACAAATTCTCAAGGTCCTGCCTGCCCTGTAGGGTGCCTTGAGGAAACCCTCTTGCCCACAGCAGCTCTGCTTAATGGGAATCTGTTAGTAAGGGACCAACACTGTCCTTCTGAGGTCTCCACTGAAGACCCTCCTCTCCTTGTCAACTCCTGACAAAGGAGCTTTACAAACACTGATAACTGAAATAGGCTGGGAGTGACAGCAATTTCTCTTCTAGAATTACACACTAGGAGACATTTCTTAAAAGTCCAGATAACAGCAGCCCATCAGCCACAGCTGAGTTTTGTTTGATGTTCTTTGTAGGGATTGGGGCCAGTAAGCCAAATGGTTAAGAACAATTAACTTCCCATGGAAGATTTCCTCATGCTGGGAGGGACAGTTCTCCCTTTTTCTTAGTCACACTGAAGCTAGATCTTTCTAGCTGCTTGTATGAAACAATGAACAGGATAGTGTCTACTTCTCAGGACCTGGAAGGGACCTGCAGTTTCTGTCCTCTAGTCCCTGCCAGTTCAGAATTATTAAAAAAAAAAAAAAAAAATCATTGGACTCCTGTGTGGCTCAATTAGTCAAGAGTCTGACTCTTCATCTTGGCTCAGGTCATGATCTTATGGTTCATGACTACAAGCCCTGCATCTGGCTCTGTACTGACAGCACACAGCCTGCTTGGGATTCTCTATCTCCCTCTCTGCCCCTCTCCTGCTCTTTCAAAATAAATATTTTTTAAAAATATTAAAATCCCATTCCTCTTAGCCTCTCGCCACTGGTTCTATTTTAAATGAGAGCGTGATCGCCTGGTTTCCTAATAAGAAAAGAGTCTACTGAATCTATTGAGCAGGATAACTCATTGAGGTCAGTCTTGATAACTAGCTGGTGGTTTTCTATTCAGCACCCATGCTTGGGTCCTGTCTTAGAGCACCTTTACTTGTTTTAGAAAAGGAGAGGTCTTCATCTTGGTTCTTCTTAACATAGGCAACAAATCCAATCTCACCTCAGTGGGTCTTTCCAGTTTTTTTCTACCTACTCCACAGTACAGACCAGCTACAACTTGCGCACTTACAAAGACAGAGAGGCAGAAATCTATACAATTCACACAGAAAGAAGGCTTTTTTTTTGCTGCAGGTGAGGAAAACCTTCTTACTCAAGACTAACATAACAGTGTGCAAAGGACCAAAAGAGTTTAATTATAAACACAGTCTTACATCTTTTAAGGAAATGCAAGTGAGGCAGCCCCCTGAAGGACCTTTATAAGAGCACTTGACTCCCTGTGATATTTGTAGAGTTACCTGAGTATTTGAAATTACAGTTCAAGAAAACAAAGGAACTCCAATACAGTAATATACAATCCAGTGCTGCCATTCTCTGTTTTTAGTAAATGAAAGCATAGCATATATACAGATCATCTTGTAAATAACTCTAAAAGAAAAACAAAAAATAAGGGGGCTGGAGATACCAACAATATTAAGTAATAAACCTAAAGAAGTTCAGATACAGTTACAGCCAAAACAAGGAGGGGTATAGAAATAGAGAAGTCTAATTCCATGAGTCATCCCTGATAACATTTTAGATTATTAATCAGATAAATAAAAAGTGGCAGAGTGGGCTTGACTGAAATAGTTCATTTAGGATGCAATCTTTGTGAGCAAGTGAGTCATTTTTCACTTAAATTTCTGATGATTTGACATTGGTATGTCAATCTCTTGATGAAAAATTAGTACCTGAATTTTAAATAGAGTTATTGTAAGTCTTATGAAATTAGATTCTTCTGCACTCTGATTTAAGTTCATAAAAGAGCAGGAATTCATTATTATGAGCTGCTGGATCAGTTTTAAACCACTCTATCTGAAACAAGTGAGGTCCTTCCCTCCTGACCCAGGCTGTGAAATGCTGCCTTCCCCAATCTCCCAAAAGAGCAGAAGAATAAGGCAATTGCTCATTTTACTTTGTTTTTATTTCAACATAACATGCAGTAAAAAAACAAAACAAAACAAAAACAAAAAACCCCCCAAAAAACCAGGATTTATTAGCATTTACAATGCTTACAAAGAAAAAGGACTCTAAAAGCAATTTAGTTCAGATTTAAGAAATTGCTCTAATTGAACACTTACAATAAATCTATTTCCAAATGTTCAGTCTGGACCAAAATTTAAAATAGCATTTGGCAGGTAAATTATGTCTGCTGCTTATTTGTAGTATTTTTATATAACCTCTGATTCTTGGGATATCCAGCCCCCATTTTCCTAACACAGCAGGGAAGACATATACATGTGGCCACTTAAATTAAAGGAAGAAATGGAGTAAGGGAGATCCCAGGCTGCAAAAATATATACAAGCATTTACCTTTTCCAGAACTAAACGTTTCTTCCATAAAAATATTAAATAGCCAAGCCCTATAGAACTAGGGCCAGGGCTACTTCAAATATAGCTATTCTGTATTTTAAAAATATAGGGCAGAAAGCCTTTTGGGTGATATTTATACATTTTTCACACAATATTTCTAGGTCCCTAAATGAATCATCAAGCATTATGTAGAACAAAAACAAGTCTACTTTCTTACATTATTTAATTTAATCTTATAAATCTCTAGTAAATATTGTAGATAACTACATTTTAATGAGAATTCGCCTCAATAGTAAGTCTTTATAGAAGGCTTAATCTCCACAGCCATATATTACCAAAGTTCAGATTTATATAATGAATGGATAGTTGGCAGACATTCGCTCTGTAAGACAAAGCAATAGCATTTTCCCCCCTACCAACAAAAAGGCAGAGTCCCTACTTTGGAAACCAGGGCTTTTAGAGATCATACATTTCCTGGAGTATATGGAATAAAAAAACAAAGATAGGGTTGGGGAGAACCTAATTTCCCCCACCTTTACACTAACAATTTCTAGATGAGGCAACCCTTTTACTCACTTAGGTCTGCTTTATGATGGCAGTGCTTTAGAGTACAGATACACAAGTTTTAAAATGTTTTTGTTGCTTCCAGGATGTGAAAGGACAAATAGGGACAAAGAAAAACCATTTTCTTTCCATATGGACCAGGGGTTTGCTACTCTCTGCTTATTTTTGGCTCAGTACTACTTGTTCCTGCTATGCTACCAAAACCTACCAAAGCCCTGTTTCATGAATTATATGAGGCTGTCCTCAGGGTTCAGCTGTGTGTGATAGGCACTCAGCTGGCTGAGGCTTCATCCCACTGTCCATAAAGTCAAACCTCTGACAGCAGCCACCCTGACAGAGTCTAAGCTAGGCCAAGTTAAAAGAATTAACTACAGAGACATTCAAAGTGCATTTAATCAGATACTAATGGAGCAGTCTGAAATTAAATAGTCATGGGAAAAACAAGGAAAAACCTGTTAAAACTTTATGAGTGAAGAGGATATCCAACTCAGGACAATGTAAAGAATGGAAAAGATTACTCCAAGGTGTCAGAGAAATGATTAAATTTGAAGACTTTTAATTCACACACAGAATACATTTCTGTGATTACTAGAAATGTATTGCTATTAAATGTACTACTCCCATCTCTTTAGCCAGTACCACAGCTCTCCCTCCCTATGTAAATGTAATGTAGAGGATGTTTCACTGACCTCCCTCTTTGGACTGGAAAGTACT